TTGCATGGAGTATTGCTGACATATATGGTCTGGAGCCCCTTATGTTTGTCTCAAGGTTCTTGATAAGATCCAGAGACGTATATGCAATGTAATTGGCTCTGATCTGGCATCTTGTCTGCAGCCACTCTCTCACGGACATGCCGTCGCCTCCCTCTGTCTTTTTTACAAATACTTTCATGGTAACTGCTCCGATGGGCTGCTTTCGCTGGTTCCCAGACTTCATAAATTTAAGCGTTCTACTAGGCTGGCATTTCGTTCACACCCTTTCACTGTCGAAACTGTTAAATATAGCCGTCTCTTCTACTCCAATAGCTTCATATCTCGCACCTCTCGCCCGTGAAACTTCCTCCCCTTTTCCTGCTTCCCTGATAACTATAATCTCCAACTATTCAAATGTAATGTCAATCGACGTCTCCAGATGCCCTGATCTATCCACTATCCTTCTCTTCATCCTTTTCTCTATCACTCTTATTTGCTCTCGCTCCAACTCTCTGTAACCCCTTGCGTGCTAGTGGCTTCCCGCCTTGCTTGGGGTGAAACGCTTAAGGAAAATCACCCACATTCCCTCCGTATTCCATCGGCAAGAAGGAAGTTCCACTTAAACAGCTTCTCCTCGCAGAGCCTATGAAACAGACTCCCAAGATGATATTTCCCCGATCGCTACAATCTTAACCTGTTGAAATCTAGAGTCTTCCTCTCCTATCAATATAGACTATCCTTATCGTAAATCTATACCTCGAGTCTCTTGTAGTGTGAACCTTACTCTAATAATAATAAAAATAAAAAAAGTTTCATCTACTCAATCATTCATAAGGCTTGGATCGCCCCGAGCAAATGTTTTTATGCACTTTCCAACAACCCCGTGCTCTGGGATTGCTGACACGGGTGAATATTCTTAAGATGTCCCTTTCATGCCAATTCCACTATGGATGGAATTCAAACAAGAATGTCTCGGTGAGGTTACTTATGTTCCGACCATTCGGTCAGGCACCCAGCAAATTAATACAACTTAAATAGAAGAATTAATGCTAACAGCTCTATAACAAAAAATCATTTTTGCTCGCAAAAATCGGAGATATACGCTTGTGCAAAGAGTAAAACCTAAATCTGTAAATGATAGAGAATCATAGATAAACAGACTGGGTAATCAATAAATGCGACTCAGATTTCGAAAAAATGCTCCAAGGTAGGTTCAATAACCGCATCTTAATCAGAATTCTGTACGACGCATAAATATATTGATACCCTTCAGCAAGCAGACACCAATTGTTAAATTATTCGCAGCTAGACTCATCAGTGTTGTTTTCGTAGTTTTCCCACGCATCTAATCCTGCAAACACCTGTCATAGATTTAGAAATACCTTGCACACTATTAATCGTGAATTCATACCCCATAGAATGTTCTGTAAATGTGACCTAATTCTAAGGTACAATTAACTTATTCATTCAGTTTGTGATGCAGCGTTGGGGCCTGAAGAATTACCGATAGAACATGAGAAACAAGAGACGACAGAAAACACAACATAGTGTTCAATAGCATGATATTAGATGATTAATAGTCTCTTTATTTTGAAGAAACAGAAAACAATTCTTTCAAACTATCCGTACAACGACTGTTTAAATTTATTTTTAATTTTTTTAATTCACGAGATTTTAGATCTGGTCGTAAGTCCGGATGCGTTAAACTTGCAAGTCGTTAAGGAAGCATGAACCGAAATTCCATTTGTCAGTTAGCTTAAGGAACCACATAACTAAACATATTTGGCAATCTTATTAATAAATATTTAAAGCAGAAACATACGTCGGATTGTTAGAATAATTCTTGTTTTACGAGTGAATCTTGCGTTAAGAAATTTCTAAAAAACAATGATATTTTCAAATACAGATTCTAGCATTTGAACCAAAAGTAGGGTGGTGAGTAACAGCAAAATTGTCCACATCCTGCAACAGTAAAATTGTTCAATTGTTAGATAAAGATCAGAACCCTTGTAAATTAGAAATGATTAAAGATATCTTACTGGAAAAATCTGAGGTGTTTATAACACTATTGGACTCTACTTTGAGCAATAAGAACGTATAATTACTCTCTAAGCTGAAAGGATGTATCGCGATGAAATCGATCATAAACGAAAATGACATGTTCATCATTAATTAATCATAGCTAAGGATCGGAAGCTCATGATGTATTGAAATGAAGTTCATATATAGATATATATATATATATATATACGTTAACTCAATACTAATAATAAAATCCCCTTCCTTGACATATTGATAAACACAAATAATAACAAATTTACTATTTCGCCATACAAAAAACCTACAAGCATAAATTCAATACTATTCTTAAATGTCTATAATTGGTAACAGAAGCCATTGGTTTATACCAACGTCTTTCCATAATTCATACTTCTCGAATTCACTCTCGTGTGGTCATGTGTGACGTCATGAGATACGGTGCGATTTTCGCTTATAGCGTCTTATATGCATGTGTTTATCGTTGATTAGAAATCATCTATGTAAACATTGACAGATTATCATCACTGTCTTGTCCGTATATTGCTTAATATGTTGTAATTGACATCTTTGATAATGGCTTAAGTAAGCCGAAAGCTTAGATTGTATTAAAAAAATATGGATCAATATTGTGAAATTCTTTCTTCGTTCAGCGATAATGTTATTAAACTTATCAGATATTACGAAAAAAATTTACATAAAATAAATAGACAACACTTGTCTATATTATTTAATGAAACATATATATATATATATATATATATATATATATATATATATATTCTTGAATAAATCAACTAAATGATGAAGTCTACCCCAAATCCGAAATTGATCAATTCCTGTAGATCTAATTACAAGACGAGCACACTTCTTGTTTTATCTTCGCTTTTCAGAATGCTAATTTTCTTGAAACGTTCTCATTATGCTTGGTACAGAGTGTCCTACAAGACATAATCTTTTTGCAGCTTCGTTGACGTTACCTCTGCTAGCTGACCCTATATCTCAGAATTGGATGTGTGATTTCTCCACAACATATAAGTTAGCCATCCTGAACATTCTTTTATAACACAAGTCTCATTATTTCTTCAGATATTTGGTCATAGACAACGTCTCTGCATCATCGAATAAATTATGTTCGACTATTGTAACAAACATTCGGATCTTTATTCTTATTGCTAATTGGGACTTCCATAGCCTTTTTATTTTTACTATTTTTTTTTTTCATTTGTGACATGCAGTAGGGACAGGATATTTTCTTACAGTCCATTTTTTTAGTACAGTGTACAAATGAACCCAGCTAGTTGAAGTTTTGTAATATTTCCAGTGATTTACCACTTTTTACCGTCCTGGGTAGGACGATAAACTGCATCCAACAGCAAAGTCTCTGATCAGGAGGCTTTGAGGAGCGTAGAATCACCTCTTAATTGTTTGTATTCTCAGGTCCACCCTGACCGGGGGCGGTAGCACCTGTTAGGGTCCTAGTTATGAGCTAATAGTTAACCTTCAAACTGAGGTCAAAACGCTATGAAACTGTAAAATACAGAAATACATTTTTGTAAAGAAATATAAATTACTAGCAATAAATTTCTATAGAAAAAATTATTACCAGCAATGCATTTAAAAAATATTACCAGCAATAAAAATTTTATCAGCATTAAATAACTCATTGAGGTTGATATGCCGTAAAACAAAACAAACCAAAGCAAAATCGCTTTTTACTTTCATTTCCAAAAGAGTTTCATTGTTGAACGTTTGCAGCTCCGGTTTGCTTACCTTACATTGAAAACCAAACTTTGTAGCCTCCTCCTTCTCTAATATGTCCCAAACCTTGTGTACTTGTTCTTCCTTCTCGGAATCTAGTAATGCAAAGTCAAGATTGGTGCCAGTGTTGGAAGTCTTCTGCTTCTTTGTCTGTGAAGTGGAATTCTTATCTGCCATCCTATGAAAAATCACCGCTACTGTTTATTTTAAAAATCTATTTTTCTGTTATTTTCTAATTCAAGTAAATAATATTTGTTTCATTTCAGATTAATTATACTTTGCATCAGCTAATGTTCCTCAATAAAACTTCAGAAAATTATATTTTATTTTTGGAAGATTTTTTGTATAAAGAAATTTGTACTGCGATGACATATAATTAAAAAGAACAGCAATAAGATATTTTTAGCGAAAAAAGTAAATAGTCTCCAACCATTAGAAATGTTTGAAATACACTATAGAGTACTTTGCTCACTGCAAATAGTAAATGTAATCATTTAGTTTTCGATTAAATCAAAAATGAAAGCGTTAAGAAAACGTTTTAATTTTTAAAATTCATTTTAAAATTCATATGTTGAAAAATAAATCTCATTTGGTCAAATTCGATAAGATTATCTTGGTTAGCCAATGAAATTTTCAACCAAACCTTGTAATCTAAGACGATTGCAAATTAGAATAAAAATGAATGGGGAAAAAATAATTGTACATCGTAAAAATTATGCCAAGTCATGAATAGAAATTTAAAACCCGATGAAGATTTCTAAATTAAAGAAAGATGATGCAAAATTGACTGAAAAGTTTTACTTTTTCTTTCAACATCAGCGAATACGGGAAAATTTAAACAGAAATATACGAGTCAGAAATCGGTACCAAGCGTTTATATTGATGTCTAAACGTAGCTTAATGTGGCCTGTATCAAATGTTTATAATGTTTATTGAAAGGTTCGAAATATCAAGGGAGATTTGAGTAAATATTATTCATATGTAGCGAAGACAAAGATATGTAAAAAAAATCATTAAACAGAAAATAAAGTAATATTTCTTAAGGCAAGCGTGAAAAAATAAAATGGTTATTTCGTTCTTAAAATCATTTTAGCGCCATGCGGATTTCTGCGACACGTGACACATTTGAACCAATGAACTGATTTCCAGATTCTGAAATGTCATGAAAAATTGTGATTTATCAAAGAAAATCTAACAAGGATATGTTAGGAAAAGGTCGTAAA